CTTCTACAGCATCGCCACTGAAAATTAAATGATTGCTATAAATTAATATTTACTGCCAAAAAGATGGGATCCATTCTGGTTTAATTGAACTCCTTTAATTAGAGAACCAAAATGTGCTTCCAATTCAGTGATTGTCCCAGTTTTCCGAGATTCTCAGGGACAAGCTTCATGCTGGGAGTTAGACTGGGAAATAAAATACTTCTCTAACCAAGAGGGAGAGAAAGAACCACGCAAGACAACAGAACACCTTGCCAAAAGCCTAACTAGGGGAAAAACCATTGCATTTCTGCAGCAAGAACAAGGAAAACAAGTTATGGGACTTGAAAATGGAATATAGGTTACTGGTGCAAAGCCAGCCCAGAACTGGTTTGTAGTATTACAGCCCAGTGACTGCACGAAACAGCTTTAAGGGAACGTTTTCCATAGCATTTAGGAAATGCAGAGATTTAGAGCCAGCAGCCAACTCAATCTCAGTGAAGAAAAGATCTAAAGTCCATCTCCACTGAATTGTCTAAGTCACTCAATAGCAACAGAAAAAACAGGATTTGTGAGGCAGAAGCTCTTCCCTGTGAGGGTGCTGAGGCACTGGAACACCCAGAGAAGCTGTGGCTGCCCCATCCCTGGCAGTGTTCAAGGCCAGGTTGGACACAGGGGCTTGGAGCAACCTGCTCTAGTGGAAGGTGTCCCTGCCCGTGGCAGGGGGTTGGAGCTGGATGAGCTTTAAGGTCCCTTCCACCACTGCCCTGGGCAGCACTGGGCTAAGTGCCATAGGAAGAACAAGAAACAAACCCTGTACTGAGGAGAGTGAAATCTCTCTTTAAAGCTTTACAATTCTCTCACTTCCACACGCTTTTATAAATTGCATTTAAAAATAGTTTTCTCCTCACTCACGTCCCAGATTTAACAGTGATATATTGAGGTCTCATTAAAATGCCTTTATTACCTTCTGGACCCATGGTACCTTCCCTTATCTAGTATCAATTGCTGATCTCAGAACTCCATCTGACCTGATATAGGAACTAAGATTACTCCAGGGCCTTCCCAGGACACAATATAACCCCTGTGCCTTTCCAAAACACTTGTAGATTTGTATTTTTCCACAGAAAACTCCACCAGCATAAGCCAAAAACAATGATGTACACCAAGTGCCACCTGCTTGCCTTGTTGGCCACTTCTGCGCTGGCCAAATTCAAGGATTCATCATGGTTTCCCATTGGTAACGGAGAGGTTCCTCATCACACCTCTGCTGGCAGCCTGGCTATAAACTAGTAACACTTTAGCCACCATGGGTGTCACCTCAATATCCTCAATGTAGACCCCAAAAGCCAGTGTTCAGAGGGGTGAGAAGTTTACTGAGCTCATACAGAGGTGCTGAGAGTAAATCAGATGGTCAGTAACAGAAGGTAAATGTAGTATTAAGTACAAGTATCGATTTATGTTACCATTTTGTATGAGAAATATTCCATAAAGGCTCTTTCACTACTTCATTTCTTGTAATACAGGAACGCTCTCCAGGACCTTCCAGGGAAAAGATACTCCTTTCCTTTAAAATGACATCACTACCTCAGACAAATGGGAGAAAATCCACATCCTGCGATATCACTTGCCTCAAATACGACTTTTCACCCTTAGAATTCACAAGTCTCCTACAAAGAAAGTCAGTATCATCAACTGAATTTTCCAAACTGGAGCAGAGAGAGAAAAGAGCTGTGTGAAGGTTACCAGGAGCTTCTGATATTCCCAAATTCTATAAATACACAATGGGAGTTGGGAGGAGGATATAAAACACAGGAGTCCTTGAAGACCATGCAGGCAGCTGGCTTCTTATCCAGCTGCTGTGAAGTCTGTCCATGTAGTATTGAATCTTGTCCAGCCTGGTTCCCAAAATCCACTTAACTGCTTGGAGCAACCTGCTCTAGTGGAAGGTGCCCCTGCCTATGGCAGGGGGTTGGAACTAGATGAACTTTAAGGTCCCTTCCAACACAAACTATTCCATGATGCTATGACAAAAGTAGTAGCACACTGAAGGACTGAAGCTACTCAGGTGCTCAGAATAAACTGGCAAGGACAGAAACATTAGAGTTTCTGCCCTACTTTACATTTTCAGTATAGGAGGACATTCAACCTCCATCCATTTCAAAGACCTTTAGTTTATTTCTACTTATAAAAAATAAAAAGCTCTGGAAACAAAGCACTTTTATACATTAATAATAAGCACTTCGAAATGGATTGTAGATAAAAGGGAGGAGGGAGAGTGGGGATGACTAGAGTTCATCTAACTGTGACAGCATAAATGGCCCTTTCCCAATGTACAAAAGCATAGAATCATGGAATACTTAGGGTTGGAAAGGACCTTAAGCTCATCCAGTTCCAAACCTCTGCCACGGGCAGGGACACCTTCCACTAGAGCAGGTTGCTCCAAGCCCCCGTGTCCAACCTGGCCTTGAACACTGCCACGGATGGGGTATTTTCCACTTCTCTGGGCACCCTGTTCCATGTATGAAGACAAAGTTCAAGGGACAGATGAATAAGCATCACGTGTCTGTTGAGTATCCCGAGCTCTCCATAGTGTTCCTACTCCCAGTATTTGCTCAGAATGTGGAATTCAGCTCAATAACAAAGCCCTGTCCCTAGCTGGCTCTCCAGCTGCCTGCCACTGGCCTGTGAACACTGACATTTTGTAGATCCTACCTTCTGACAGGACATAAGGCAGAGGTTGAGAGTGGAAATGTGCTTCTCTCAGCACAGTAAACATGAGGTTTTTCTACCCATCTACAATGCAGTCAGAGGAGCAGGAGGTCAAACCAACACTGTAAGCACAAATCCAAGCTGTTAGAAATACAGGGTCAGTGCACTGAGCCCTGCACTTCATCATACCAAATCCCTGTATCTGAGGTGGGAATTTTCTGGTTTCTTGTCCTCTAAATCTCTTTTACAGCCACCTGGACTGTTCAATCTTTATATTGCTGGCACAGAGCTGTTTAAGAAGTGATAGTGCAGTGAGAACAACTTTATGCATACATGTAGGAGCTGAACACTGAGCAACGTAAAGCCAACCTGGACTCTGCTTTTGGTTTATAAGACGAGCTGTTTCCAGTGGCATAAAACACAAACCTGTTGTATGATACACTCATTTTCCCAACTCTTCTAACAACACAGAAATAATGTGAAGAATGTGTCTACTTGTATCATGCAATTTATACCCCAAACATACGAACAGTGAACTCCGCAAGAAGCGACAGTGAGAATCTTCATCCATCCAAGGATGTTTTCTTGCATCATTAGGGGAAAAAAGATGCCTTGGTTTTAGCTAAAGATCAACATTTAAGGAAAAAGAAGAGACTGAGCCACGAGCACAACAGCCTGGAAGTACCAAGCCAGAAGAGGTGAAGCTTTCCTTCCCTGTAAATCAACAGTGGAACAGGGCAGTAACAAATGAGGTATGCCAGCTACCTTGTGTTACAGCGGGAGACACTGAATTAGGGACACACCATGAGGTTACAGCCAGCACAGGGTGGTGGCACACAGTGACTGACACCAGCCTGGCTCCAGGGTGGTGAGAAGCTGAAGCTGGGGAATGCTGATGAGAACAGACAGTGCCTTCAGACACCCAGCACCAGCGAGAGCTGCTGGCCAAGGAGAAGGAGGAGAAAATAGCTGCAGATGAGAAAAAACATACTCGGTGCCAGCTGCAGAAAGTCAACATTAATAGTGGGTATTAAGGTGTTGAGTGGAGTGACCAGCACAGAAAATACCCACAGACAAAACCACTGGTGAATCCTATGTTTTGGCTTGATTTTTTGCCTTGAAAATAAGGTTTGGAACAAAATGGGATCATCGTATTATATGGGGTTGGATGATGCTTTTCAAAGAGTAAAACAGAGTACTTACCTTTGTTCCCCTATAAACAGGGAGCTTACTACCTGTGCACTTTCTGAGCACTGTATAACCAACAGCTAATCCAAAATCTATTGCACATGGCCCAACCAGCTATTAACGGTGCTTTGAACTTCAAATAATCACTGGGATGAACACCCAGAGCAGAGAGCACAGGGCTTTTCCCAGCTGAAGCCTGGCCACTGGATCCCATGACCCAATGAGAGGTAGTGCCACATCACGGTAAGGAAGCTCACCATGCTGCTGGACCTCCTGCCCTTCACAAGCACAGCTGATGTCCTGCAATAGTCAGATGTGTCCAAGCTCTGTCACAGAAGGCAATTTCCTCTTCAATTTAGGATGCTAAGGAGGTACTTTAAGAACAACTGAAAATACCAGGCAAGTTACAACCTCCAGACACTCCTAACTGCAACAAAGCAGGTCGAGCTTCTGTGAGGTAAGGTAACTGCACAAAACAACCCCATCACATTGCCCTGATTGCCTGGCAATACCTAGTATCTGACCTTCCAATCTCAGCAAATGCCACAAGAAGTTGGCAAAGTAGAACTGCAAGTACTTTACTCCCTCACTTAGAACAAAACCGAAGATATGAAGGTAATGCAGTTGTCTGTGGCCCACTGCCATTTGCAGTGCCTTCTGTCAGCATGAGAACAGCAGCTTTGTGGTGGTTCTCTGCAATTCTGCTCCCTCTGATGGTACATCAGCTTTCAGGCTGAGGTTTTACTTCTGTGGACTGAAGCAGCCTTTTGCTAAAATCTAATTCTTCCACAATGCTGCACGCTTCCAAGAGCGTGTTTTTACATGCTTCATGCTCATAAGCTCTGCTGAAAAAGAGGTTACTGCAGACAAAATCCTTATGACATTACGGACCTTTAATTGGTTACTAGACCTGCTTTGGGGCACATATTAATAGGGCAGAAGCATTATGCACGTTCCTTCTCTCTCCTTGACAAACTGCCAGAGGAAGGGAAGCACTTTGGTCCTGAAAGTACCACGTATTTAGAAATCTGAAACTCAGGGCATGCAAATCAGTGTGTAAATGGAAGAGTAGAGCGTTCAGAACTGAAAATAACCCAGTCAGAGAACTCCACACAGTATCTCACCATAGCGCTGAGAGTCTCCTCCCAGTCTGGCCTCTCTCTGGGATGGATGCTCCTCTGAAGCTCTGGCACAAAGTCATCTTCTTCTGCGTGTACAGAGGACTTCATCATTCTGGAAAGGAGGACAGAGGTTAGATACTCGGTGATAAGGTTTAGGTGATCTTACATCATACTGTCTGTGCTAGTGCTCGGGTTTGTGGCTCATATGACAATATAAATGCTTTTATAAACCCAGACCTCTTACAGACTTCCCAGTTTCTCTTCATTCCTCATTATCCAAGCAAGACTAAGCGTGCAGAGAAAGCTGCACTCCCTAACCAACCAACGGATCATTCTGTTTCATCACTGCACAGTTTGCCAGTCTGAAACACAGAGAAATGCAGAGCAGTAATTTTCAGTCCATTCAAAACCAATTGTTCCTGTTGCTCAGGCAAACATGAGAAGAAACACACTTAAGGAAAGGACCTTAAGATCATCCAGCTCCAGCCCAAAAAAAACCTGCATGACAACAGCAGGATTTAGAAGGTAGAAGTGTGATGCCAGCTCAGATGGGCACCTTTGACAAGTATGCAGTCAAAAGAATGTGATTTTTGTGAACCTGAAAACTTCAGAGTGGTGGCTCTTTTCATTCCTCCTTCTTTGCGTATCAAGAATGAGAATATTTGGCCTGTTTCTCTATCACATGAGGAGTCTGACACTTATTGTAGCTGACATTACAAGTTAAAACCAGGTTGTGCAATTCCAAAACAGGAGATAAACTGAAAAAAAAAAAGGGGGGGGGAAAGCCCATATTTCTTTAAATCAACCTCATGGTTTTGAACAAGGCCGAGTCAGGCTTTCCTCAGCACTTCTGAGTGTTGGGGCTTGGTTTACAGCAGCTGTACACAAAGATTCTGAACAAACCATCCCTCAGCAGCTTCAGTCTAATGCCACGGGACAGCATTTAGTCTAATTCCAGTGGATGAGGGAACAAAAGGACGGGTAACAGGGGCAAGACCCAGCTTCCAACCCCATGCTTAGAACAAACAGCTTATCACAATTAACACTTTCTCATTATACCAAACTACATGAGACTGAATTTACACCTTTCTCAGCACTCTGGATTACAAATTCATTTACTACAAACTCCTCAGGCTTAGGGCAATTCCTCCTGGATTCCTCAGCAGAGATGTGCTTTCCTTTCAAGAAATAACCCTTCTGAATGGTTGTATTACACACACTTTATCCTTAGCCTGGTTACAGTGACCATTACTCAGGTCCTCCTGGAAGATGCTTCAAACCCTGTGGTGGTCTGAGCACAGAGAATAATGTGTCCTGTTGTAACATCACCTGGGGCTCTGGGGCTCTGCCCTCACAGTGGGAAAACACAGATGTCACCAGACCTTTTTAACAGACTCCCATCTATTTACAGACATTTAATCTGATTATGTCTATAGAACTCCATGAAAAACTCCTCCCAAAGCCTTCCCACTTTGATCCTAAAGCACAGTGCTATTAGCCTTCCTCCTGAAGGTTCTCTGGGAATAAGAAACTCTTTGTGTGTCCAGTTGCATATTGCAGTCCATTCTTTGAGCATTTCCCAGACTTATTTAACAGAATATTCTACTACTGATGAAAATCAAACCCTTTGCCACAGGACCGCAAAAAGGGTGGAACCCTGAAGGTTTTCTAACACAATTAAAACCACTTGATAACCACCTCTGAACCCTTATTAATCTTTAATAGTAACTATTTCATTCCATCTGAGACAAGAGGCCAAGGAAGGCTCAAGATGCTTCAGGTTATATTAGTCCCTTCTATACTAAGTCTAGTGGCTTTTTCCTCCCTATCCACGATGGGGATGATGGAAAAATGAACGTTGTGGACTAGCAGCAGTGAAATATGGCTCTGAGTAGGGCCAGAAAGGTGGAAGAAGAGGAAGGAAAGCAGCTACTCAAGATGCTCCCCATTTTTCACACTGCTCCAACAGACTTTACTACAACTCCCACTTCATGTGCTGAGCAGCTCTGAATGCCCTTCAAATGCAAGCTGACACCATTACATTAATAAAGGTTCTGGCTGCAGAGAGGCCATTAAGCAATCTCTGTTCAGCTGAATGAATCCTTCTTCATTGTAAATTGAGAAGCAAATGGACCAGAACAAATGTTTACAGGACGTTTCAGGAAAGGCCCAGCCCACATTCACACCCATTCTTTAAAGTTCTCTGGCAGGTCAGGATGATGAATTTCAAGTCATGGATGTACCTTTGTACATGAGAAAATTGTATCAAGAAACATCTTTTCCACGTGAGCAAAGCCAATTTGCTGGTCCCAGAAGTGGGTTTGTGAGAAGAGCTCCTTAAATCAAACAGGGAGGAGAATCATAGAATCCCGACTGGTTTGGGTTGGAAGAGACCTTAAAGCTCATCTGGTTACAATCCCTGCCAGGGACAGGGACACCTTCCACTAGAGCAGGTTGCTCCAAGCCCCTGTGTCCAACCTGGCCTTGAACACTGCCAGGGATGGGGCAGCCACAGCTTCTGTGTCCCACAACAGACCACAAAACACAACTGTCATGGGCTTTGCTGTCACCTAGATGCTGATGATACACAGATGACCTGCTCTCTAGCAGGACACAAGGCTGCTGACAAATCACTTTCAGAGGTGGGTTGAAAGCCACATGCTGGTGGAAGCAGGAAGCATCTTGAATGCCAGGCTCCTCATGGCAGAGGGAACTGTCTGCTTGACAGATCCTCATTGGGGCCTGGCTGTATAATCTTTAAATTAAATGCCAAGCCTGATCTTTAGGCTGTGCTCCCCCAGAGGGACATGAGGCATTTCAGCTTTCCTTGCTGCTTCTCCCACAAATGGCTGTTGTTTCTGACCTCAATTTGAGAGGTGAGAGCTGATGAGAACCGATTTATTGGTTTATTTATTATCTAACACTGGTGATGTGCCTGGAGATTTCTCAGCCAATGTAAAAGCTTTGCCCTACAGAACCAACTATACAAGAGGATTCAGAGCTCCGCAGAAAGTGATGATTTCTGAGCTATAAATGTTACCCAAAAAAGCCAAACTGTGCTGACACAAACTCATCCTGAAAACCAATGAGCTCCAAACACCAGCTGATGAAAACTGGTATTTATGCACTCAAGTAATTTGCACAAAAGGCCAAAATATCACACTAAAAAGAACTATGGCTTGAGCTTTGCACTGCTTGCAAATATGATACGCAGAGACCTCTACATCTACTTGGCTCATCTCCCTTGCTCCTAGCAACCATGTTTGTCTTCAATAAGCACTCTTCAGTTTGCCAGACAGTGCTCAGGGAAAAGGGGAACAGCAGAGACAGGTTACTTTTGGCTTCAGGATGTCACTGTGGGTGAGCCACAGCACATATCAACCCTTCAGGGCCCTTCAGCGTAGCAGCATCCCTGTCTCTTCCCATGGAATCAAGTAGAGTCTCGACAGGATTCAATCCCAAAGGTCTCAGTCACAGCATGAAGAGGTGAATCGACAGAGAGATACCTTGAAAACTCTGCTTTAGGGGGGTTAAAAACCATCAAATCACAAGAGTGGTTTCAAGTGAACTCTGTGTCCATGAAATTAAAACTAATGCAGTGGAAAGGAGGAAAAGAATCGGGCCGTATGGAAAGCAGAGATAGCTCAGGAGCCCCAGGAAATATGAAACAAGAGATGGGAGTTGAAGGCTGACAGTGCTGACCTGAAAGAGGATTTCATTTCCCACATTTAAAATCAGCTTTGTCAACATCTTCCCGATTCCATTATGTCCATGTGTATGATCTAAAACAAGGTTTCTGTCTCAAGGATCACACAACGTGAAGACAGAAAAGACCTCTGAGGTCAGCTTAAAGCCTCCCATCATAAATAAACAAATGGTAAATGGATTGTGCATAATCCTCGACCACAAAATGAACACTTGGCATAACTAAATGGTTTACTGTGATGGATTCAACCAAGTTGAAAGCTGCAAATGCTACTTCTGATGGAAGCTCAGAGTCGGGTAGCCAAAATTCAATTGTTTGGGAAGCCACTGCACAAGAAAAATTAATAGGGTAACAGTATAGCACTCGTAGATATGCCCATCATCCAGTGGGTATCCAGGGACACCTTCCACTAGAGCAGGTTGCTCCAAGCCCCTGTGTCCAACCTGGCCTTGAACACTGCCAGGGATGGGGCAGCCACAGCTTCTCTGGGCTAGTAAAATAGAGGGATATGGACTTCATGCTCTGGAAGGAATTGGAACATGTACCTCAAGAGCTTTGTGGAACTGGGCTTCAATAATTTGCATCCAGGTTTTGCATAACTGTAATTCCTTTAAACTCTTTATAAAAAGAATATGTTCATGGAATATTCAGCTTTTACAAGCTCTGAGATATGTTTTTAGCTATTAAAAAGCTTTATAATCACAGAATCCTCACGCTTTTGCATGCATATATTACTGAACAAACCTGCTCTGTTATCTGGCAACACATAAAAGCACATTGTTTTAGTAGATGCTTGGCATTTTCTTGCAGAACACAGTGACAGTCAATAAAACAATTCCTCAGGAACAGGTTTTTCTTATCACTTTAAGAGAAGGAATTAGGAAATCACTGAACAACCAGAATCACTGAGCCCTGCCTTGGATTTCTTTCATTTGATTCAGGAACAAATATAAAAGTATTAAAGGTATTTTCCTCCAGGGAGAAAAGGTACTAACCTCTCATCTACAATTAATAAACTGCTAAAAGCAGCTCTAAACTTACAGCATAGAAGAGAGATGGGAAAGGACTGTGTGTTCCTGCCTTCCTGCTGCACTGGGAAGTAACGTTCCTTTGCCACCTCCTTTGTCTTGTTTGTTAAGATCACACCTTCTCCTAAACCATCCTCATTCCTTCCCCTCTGCCCAGCAAAAGCAATTCTGGTCTTTGCTGGCGTCTTCAAATATTCCAGTACCCCAGAGCAGCAATGAAGCCCACCTGTTTACAGCTCATCCAAATGTAGCAGAGATCAAAGTATACCCCCAAATTATAAAGAATGACCTAAACTTACATCCCAGGACATTTATCTGCTCTCTTGGCTGCAGTTCAGTGCCAGTGCAAAGCCAAATGTAATCTTTCCTCATAGAAGC